GAGAGAGAGAGAGAGAGAGAGAGAGAGAGAGAGAGAGAGAGAGAGGTGTTTGAGATGGGCCTTGTATATTTCCAATGTGATGGGGCTGGTTCACATTGATCTTCCACAGGACAGGATAAGCCAGAAAAGAATTGTCTTGTTACATATCTTGGGGAATATTGACCTATGATCCTTAAGCCCATGCATCTGTATGTTTCTATCATCTCTCTCCAGAACTGTAATTGATACAAATGCATTTTGTTACATTTGATTCCACAGGGTGTATTAAGAGAATGGTTACATTGCTCACACCTTCTGGAAGAATATTACAATACATTTTTTTTTCCCTGAAAGGTATTACGATACATGTATCAGAGTGATGTTTGGCACTTCTTCTGAATGATGCGTATTAACTAATAGAATCCCTTACTTGCTCTTGAATTCTATTGGAAATGTGTATGTCATGTCATGGATTTCCAGTTCTCTGCCTTTCTGTAGTTTACGAACATTAGAAAGCTATCATAAATGTTCCACTTCTCTAAAGGAAAAGTGTGTGAGACCATTTTGATGAAACTAATGTTTCTGTCATTTCTTTTTTCGTATTTTTGAATAAGTTCGTTGAAACTAATTGAAATCAATATGGTCCGTTATTCATTATCAATTGACATAAGGAGGCAACCTACTGCAGTCTGCACTGCTTTGAATGTCCTGTAAAACTCGTTTGCTCGTTTAACTTCATTAGTCACATTTCCCATACATTCTTTTGAACAACTATCAAATTATATTGAAGTAATAACCAGATGTTCCGACTTCCAACTAATCTCATGGGGCAGGATCTTTTATTTCCGACTGTGAATAAGCTAAATAATGAATAAAGGAAAAAGTTTGTATAACATGTCAATTTCATACTGTAGGCGTAAGGTGCACCAAAAAAATTGACCTGAAAAGGTTTTGATTTCGAAAATCCTTATAATTGATCATCTCAACTTCAAAATGTATGGATAAAAAAATAAGATTGTAAATCGTATTTTATAATATATTATATTTAAAAGTAGTACATCTTGTAATACACTACGTCATATGGACTGTATTTTCAAAAAAATTTAATGATTAAAATCAACTCAATCTACACTACATCATATGGATTGTATTTTCAAAAAAATTTAATGATTAAAATCAATTCAATCTACACCATTTTTTAAGCTTTAAATTTTATATAGAGGCGAAAATGGATTGTTAGGCTATCATAAGGGTTTTCTACACCTGAATTGCATCTTTTTGAAACTATCGTAAGGGTTTTTTACACCTGCAAGAAGCAGCAACAGGTAGCATTTTTGTTCAGTCCCTTTACAAATAAATAAGACATTAGCATTTCCCAACCCCACTCCAACATACAAGCTTCTAAAATGTTGACCAATATCAGCCTTCCTTTTTGCACATTTAGGTGTTTCACCTCTTAAAATTAATTCAACACCCACCCAGCCAAAATTAATTCAACACCCACCCAGCCGAAAAAAGAAAGGAACAAGAAAATTTCCAAAATTGAGCAAAAATCACTTCTCAATCCTCTTCTTCATCATCAAGCCCATGGGCTCCATTTCCATGAGATGGGATTTCTTTGTCACTCTCTTGATCAGATTGCGGTTGCTCAATTGCTGCTGGTCTCTCAATTGGTTCATCATCCTCGGACTCGGACCATATTTGCTTCCTCCGAGAAGGCTTCGACGCCGAAGCACTCTGCATCATTTCTTCTTGATCATCAAAATTTTCAAGGCCAGCAGCATTCAAGGCATCTTGAGCATTTTCTCCATCTTCCACTTTCTCATTGAGCATGTTTGCGTCATTTTCCTCCCCTCATGTTCTTCCATGTCGGCTTCATGCTCCTCTATTTCAGCAAGTGGGTTATTATGCTTGTCCCTTCTCTTTTCTCTTTCTTTTTCTTCTCTCCATGCCCATCCTCCTCTTCATCTTCTGCATGGGGTCGGTCTTTATGCTTACTTCTCCATAGTTCCTTCACACGCTCAAACTGTTCCTCCTGCCGCATCACTTGCTTCAGCTCATCCTCTTGCTTTCTCCTCTCCATCTGAGATTTCCTTTGTTCCTCAGCTTTTCGGCGGGCTTACTTGGCTAAGACAAGCTGACGAGCAACCTCTAGTTTCTGGCGAATCGGCTGCTCTTCGCGCTTCTCTGCCTCACAATGAACCTTAGCAGCATTGAGTAAATGTTTGCAATATCCAGCATGAGTCTCTATCTTCTTCTCATCAAATCCAGGGAAGTGATAACAAGTTGCTGCTGAGAGTTGGCTAAATTCCCTCAATGCATTTTTCAGTTCCGCCACTGCCAAACGAATGTCATCAGGTATCCTGTGTCTTTTGTAAAGTAGAGGCTAAGAACTTCTGCAACGCCACAACAGCATCAAAGCGGAGCATATAATTTGAAGGCTGCAAATGAATCACTCTAATAAAAGTTTTCTTGTAGTCTTGCCATTGTTCAGCTTCATAATAAGTGTGTGCAAGGTACAGAAGAACTTGGATGTTAGTGATATGGTAAAACTTTTTCGCAGGCAATTTTGATACATTTTCACAGCCAAGGCAAACTGAAGGCCTTGAGCAAAATAAACATGTAGCAGATTTACCCACACACCTGGCATCTCAACAAAAAATGCTACCTGTTGCTACTTCTTGCACCTGAGTAAATATGTCCTTTCAGACATCACAATGACCTTTCTATACAAGGACAACTCCAACACCATTGGCAGCAAATAAACTACCAGGTCTTTGCATCAAAACTTTTCCATACAACTCCCAGCGTCCAACTTAGGCTCCTTTTTCTCATTACGAACAGCAGCAAAGTAGTTCCAGTTTCCCAGAGAAAGGGTTGCAGAAGAATCTCTTCCATCTGTTGCTTCTCGAGCAGCCTTGAATGTCTCTTTTGCCTTAAACCAATCATCACCTTTAAACTCGAGGCTCCCAAGCATTGATAAAGCATCTGGACACTTTTCGTTCACTTTAAGTACATTACCAATCAATTCAATGCTCATTCGAATATTATTTCGAGATTTAGAAATGGCAGCAAGCTGCAGATATGCATCCCCATAATCAGGAAACTTGAACAAGATTAGCTTGTACAAAAAACATGTTTTTTCAGTGTCATGCAACTGCTCAAGCAGTCTGGCTTGATTAAATAGTGCTGTGACTTTATCCCATGGCAATTCCAAAGGTATGTCATCTTCTTCCAGCTTTTGGAAAAATGAAAAGTCCTTGTACTGCATAGCACATGCTCTAGCATCCACACTGGGAGGATATATCTTCCCATCGATGAAAGAGAGCCAAATGTCTTCACCCAGTGCCTCCTTAAATGTTTGATCAGCCAACTCAAACTCCCCCCTTTCAAAATGGGGGACACCAATATTGTTGAGCAGTTCAATTGATACTTCTTCGCCACCTATTTTTAGAAGACCGCATGCAGTTTTCAGGGCATCCGGTATCAGATGATACTAACAATTCCCCCAGCTCAAGAAATGCCTATGCATCACGAGGTTCTATTCTTGTTGCCTTCCGAAAGGTATCCAAGGCCTTCTCTATCTGCCAAAACTGAGCATGAATGTGCCCAACAGGCTTCAAACTCTCACAATTTTCTGGGTAAACGTCCAAAACTTTTTTGAAATTTGAAGAGGCGCTTTTAACTCTCCCAACCAATGTTCGCAAAATCGAATCAGAACGGTTAATCGGTTTTGGGGCTAGGAGCAGTTTGAACCAGAACCAAACTAACCGGGGCGGTTAACCGTTTTAATCGGTCAAGTAGTTTTTTTTTTAAAGGTAAAAAACGTCCAAAACAATTAAAAAAAAATTGAAAATAAATCGAAAAACTTAGATTAAGTGTATACTATTATATTACATACATTTATCTTACAAAAAAATTGAAACAACTTTTTATATAAATTAATATTTGAATACTATGAAGATATGCAAGACAATTTAGAATTTGACATTAATTCAATTAATGAAGTTACAAAGTCCAACTAACAATGCTAGTAGTAATGAGAGCAGCGAGGGGGATCATGATATTGTTGTGTTTCACTATCAGGATTTACGGGGGCAAAAAATCTGAATAAGGCTTGGTGGAGTTTGTAATGCCGCAGTTGTGCCCCCTCGCCAGTTAGGAATATTTCTTGTGGCACCCCCTTGGCCAAAGTCTCCTAGACTCGTCCAGCCTTCATGCTCTCCCCCACCCTGTTCTGTGTTACCCGCATCCTGTTCTTTGTGACCCTCACCCTGTTCTGTATTACCCCGACCCTTTTCTGTGTTATGGCCCTCAGCATCTTCAATATTATCATTATCATGAATAACCATTTTACGGTGACGGCTACGGCATCGTCTCTCCCTTGTTGTTGAGTAACTCCTATGCCTCAATGCCTGGACTTCCTCCCGAGCCAACTCATTAAATATTCCTGTTCATCAGGCACCGCATCATGTTGCGCCCGTTCACATTCCTGGATGACTGGTTCTTGCCAATTGTTTTTCATTGTCCCATTTGTTTCATCATCCTGTGCCTCATCCTGTGTATAATCGTCATCCATGTCCATTAACATGTCTCCTTCATTGGATGCAGCAACATTCACATTATCATCCATATCGGCAACTGCCCCACTAAGAAACTCTTGGTCTAGTAGTGGGGTCCTTAGTGACACCCACTCATCGGTGAGGTCCCTCCGGAAGATGTAATCAAGGTTGATCGACGTGTAGTTTGTGGGGTTCCTCCTTATGTTTCTCTCTCAATTTCAAATTATAATGAACGTACACCAACTTGTGCAACGTTTATGTCTTTAACCTATTCCGCCTCGGGGCGAGTATCTACTGAAATGTACTTCAGTTTCTCTCACAGCTCGAGGCAGCAGCACAGGTTTGACTCAAAATTCTAACGGCAATATTTTGCAATTGCTTTGTTCGAATTCCGTGTATCATCCACCATTGTGCTGACACAGACAAACATAGAAATACTTAACAATAGAAAATAAATTAACTTAAAAAAAACCTCAAATAGTTTTAACTTAAAACTAACTTGGGTGCAATTTTGCAGCTGCTTTTTTGGCATTGTTGTATGCAAATTCCCCATTTTTTTCCATGTACACGATAAGCTAGAAATAACAAGATGCATATAAAAGAAATTAGTACTACATAGAAATGCAATTCATTATTGTAAATTGAAATTTTATTACATATACGTTTTGATTATGGTTTACCGGTTGCATACACTCCATTTGAGTTTCAAGATCAGGTCCAAGCCTGTAGATGCAGTTTCTTACCCCCTCCATGATATCTGCATCATCTAAAGTGATTGAAGTACAAATTTGGTGGATTAAGAAAGAACCCTGCACATGGTTTGTTATATTATTAATTACGGTAACTTTTCTCGGAGTTGAGAAAGTGTCATGAATTGCGACAGTGAATCATAAATTACCTGCTGCATGGATATCCTGGTGCAGTTGGTCTCTCCACCTACGATCAACAACCTCCAATATCTCTTCATTCCATATGTTATTCTCAAATATAGCTTCCCTTGCACGTCTCATTGCTTTGAACAGAAACCCCATTGTGGGTTTATCATCAGAGTCACTTAACCTCAATACCTGTACTAAAGGTTCAGTTACAGAAACATGGTTACATCAAGCCAAGAACCGCCGATCGAGAAGGGTGGTTTCAACCTACCTTCCAAATTGACTCATTGCTGCCCTATCAGTCTGCCATTCATTAGAGCGTATCATTGACCTCAATCCTGTCTTGTTTACCAATATCGATTGTATCGTAAGGAATGCTGTAGCGAATCTAGTAGTGGACTCCCTGACAATCTCTCGCATGCAATGCTCCCTCATCAAAGCATGGAGATACGTGTGCTCATCAAAGCATGGAGATACGTGTGATTGTATATAAACCTTGTAATCAACTTGCTTTTCAAAATACAATATTTAACCCTCTTCAGCTTCCCTATTTCCTTGAGAATCAAATTAATACAATGGACAGCACAAGGAGTCCAATAAAGATTGAGTCTTCTCTCCATTAGCAATAAGCCTGCTTTTCTGCAATTCGCAGCATTATCAGTCACGACGTGGACCACATTTTCAGGCCAACCTCATCTATAATTTTGTCTAAGTGTACGCATATCAATCTCCCAGTATATCTCTTTCTTGATAAATCAATGCTAGAGTGGTAAACAATGCCCCTAGGGCAACCTATTAAAAATTGACAAGATACCTATGGGACTTGTCCTTCCAACCGTCAGTCACGATGGTCACTCCTGTACTTGGCCAACAGTCTTTGAACTGTGCAATATGCTTATCAACATCATGAACAACAGCTTCTAAACATGGCCCTGCAAGCTCCTTCGCAGTTGGACCTCTAACACCTGGCCCTGCCTCAGCTATAGAAGCTACCATCTGTGGGTAGAAGTCTGAGCTTGCAAAATTAAATGGCAGTGCATTAGCATACCAAAAAATGTTAATCATCTTTCTCGCTTTTTCTATTAATACACCTGCTGACGAAAATTTAAATTTTTTTTGATGATATTGTGACTTATGGGGATCAAGTCCAGAGGGTTCGCGGGTCATTGATGACACATCTATGGGTTCATATCGTTGAGTAGTAGATGACCGACTATAAGAGGATAGGAGACTGGAGAAACTACGTCTCAATCTACTAGATGTGGATCTAAGCAATGAAGGCCCACATCCTCCCCGACCCGGTACTACATGTTCTTGAGGTTGACGGCTTGAATCAAAATGACTTCACAAAATCAAATCATTCATAAAAAATGTCTCCCTAAAATTTAAAGAATACTTGGAATACAAATTTTTTTTTTATTGAATATATATATATATATATATATATATATTTTTTTTTTTTTTTTTTTTCTCATATTCATCACAAAAAACATATTTTTATAAATATATATATCATATAACATTAAAACAATCCTCACAAAAAAAAAATCAATTTTATTTTTCATTCAATGAACCCTAAAATCCCCAAAATCCCTAAAATCCCCAAAATCGACCTCCAAATTTTTGTTTTTGTTCTAAATTCGTTCATTTATTTTATGCAATCAATAATCTCACACAAATATTGTTTATATATATATATTCTCATATTCATCAAAAAAAAATATTTTTATTATATATGTATTATATAACATTAAAAACAATCATCACAAAAAAAATATCAATTTTATTTTTCATTCAATAAACCCTAAAATCCCCAAAATTGACCTCTAAATTTCTGTTTTTGTTCTAAAATTCATTCATTTATTTTATGCAATCAATAATCTCACACAAATATTGTGTATATATATTCTCATATTCATCACAAAAAAAATATTTTTATAAATATATATATTATATAATAGTAAAAACAAAAAAACCCTAAATTCCTAAAATCGAGCTCCAAAAAACCCTAAATTCCTAAAATCGAGGTCCACATTTTTTTTTTGTTGTTCAAAAATCGTTATTTTATTTATTGCTATAAATAATACTAGTCAAATATTGTTTGAAAATTCTTAAAAAGCTGCAAAATTAAGAAAAAAATTAAAAAAAATTGGGTTCGAGCTTACCTTGTCTGCTTCAATCTCAAAATCGAGCCCCAAATCTCTCCATTTCAATGAAATCAAGAGTCTTGAAATATATGTATCTCAGTGATCATTAAAATCCCCACCTTTTTATTGAAAAAAACTAAACAACCAGGCCAAAATCAAATGAATGGCGGATTTTTCATAAAAAACTGAAGAACACAAAAAACGCACCAAAAATTCGCCAAAATCGATCTAATCTTCGAGTTTTTGATTCAATATTGATGGATATATAGAAGATTTAAAGGTATAGTACAATAATTGAGCCACAAAAAATAAAAAAGCGGCAAGAAAAAGCATAAAAAAAATTGCAAAAAAATGGCGGATCACGGGTTCTGCCCAAATAACGGGCACTGTTACAAATAACAGCCGTTATTTTATGTGGCGCCGTTATTTTGTTATATCGCCCGATATAACGCCAAACCGGACCGGTTTCTACAAAACCGCCCGGCCGGTTTTGTCAAAAAGTCGCCTGTTCGAGGCCAAACCGGCTGGTTTTTTAGCCGATTTTTTTCAGGATGATGTGTTTTTTTACTAGTACACTAAAACTAAACCTAACTGGAATCGCCACCCCACCGGTAGAGAGCTAACCGGCAGGTTCCAATTCCGACCGGCCTGTTTTTCGAACACTGCTCCCAACTTCAACTAAACTTGTCCCAGCCCATAATAAGGCAATACAAAATCTCGTGGCCTGTTACTTTCTTTGATAGATGCTATGTAGTATCGTCCGGGTTTTTCATAGTCGCCCTTGTTATGATAAGATCTAGCCAAGTTATGGTATGAGTGTGGTTTGATCATAACATTATCGCCCAAAGCAAGTGCAGTCTCTATCACCTGCTCAACTAGAAAGTGTTGCCTGGTAAAGAAAAAATGATTCGCTAAATAATTCAAAGCCGTAGCGCAATATGGGAAAATCTCGAAAGCTCTTTGCAGTTTCTCCATTCCCCAATAAATCGCAATGGCCTCATTAGTTTGTAAATCCATAACTCTAAGAGCCTCAACATTTTTTGGATCGAACTGTAAGACACGCTGAAACGCTTGTCGAGCTTTATCAAATTGCCCTAATTTGTACCGACAAAGTCCTAAACCAAGCCTTACTGCATCAGGGTAGTTTGGATTTCCTTGCAAAGCCCTCTTGTATACTCCATGTATCACCAGTTATTAAACTTTACACATGCCTGACCAAGAAGAGCTGAAATATTATCAGGTTGTCCATCTAATACAATCTTGAATGCATTAGACGCCTGTTCTAGATAGCCTTCGCCAGTAAAAGCCGGCCTTTTCCAACCCAAGTGGAAGGTTCTTGCATATCAATCCTTCATGCTCTGTTGTAGTATTGCGTTGCAGGAATATAATAATTGAGATGAACAGAGTGTGTGTAAAATTTGAGGTCATACGAATACCACAAACATAGTTTTTTAGAAGTGTCGTTATTATACTATGCTACAACCATTGCATTAGATCATTGCTCTTTCCCACTCTTCCCTTTGGGCAATGATTTCATGCAACCGTTGTATAGTAATATGATGCAACAACTTTAAAAAAACCATCTTATAGCCATTTGTTTGATCCAAATTTGAAATATACTCTTTTCATTCTAATGAACAATCACATAAAAAGAAAAAAATGAAAACACAACCTAAAAAGCATTTTTTTAGCCCAATTAACATAGGCTGTTCATTTTGGTGAGATGCTTAGATCTAGGCTTTAAAAGGATTTTTTCATTTTCAAATTTTTTAGATGGCTTTAGTATCATCATTAGATGAACAATGTTAAAAAATAAAAAAATGATTTTGAATTTATAAAGGCTAAGATCTTGAAATTCATAAAATGAATGGTCTAGATTCGTTTTTGGAGGGGACTCATTTTGAGTATATCTAAGGCTCAAATTGAACTCTTTTTTCTTTTGGGGGGATTGATGATTATTGAGATGAAAAGAGTGTGGGTGAAAATTTTGAGGCCATACAAACACCACAAATATGGTTTTCTAAAAGTGTGGTTGCATTGGATGCTCTTTCCCTTTGCTTATTTTCAATTTTCCCAAGGTTAGCAATAATAAACCCCGAATGCGTTAAGCACAGCGATTCGCTCATATGTGACTCCTGCATAATATTCCTAAATTTCTGGACTTACCTTCCTCCAAGATTTGGCGAAATTGTTCAAGCTTTCCTTGTTTGAAGCATTCACGGGCGATGATGAGCCATAGGTCCAAAGGAGCTTGCTCGGGTTTTAGAACGTCGACGATATCAGTAGCGTCTCTCGGGAGCTGGTCTAGGGCAACTCTCACCTCTTCCTCTGAGTTTTGAACGGGAATGTATATACAGGCCATGGCTGACTAAGAAACCCTAGGAAAACCTTGAAGCTATGGCCCACTGAAATCCAGAGAAACCCTATAAATGGTGGTAGTATAGATAACAAGCCAACAAAATTTTGGATTCACAATTCATCTTCAAGACGGCTTTTATGAATGGGTGGATGCACCCAAACCCTACCTTTTAATTTACAATACCCATTGACTAATAAAGAAAGGGTGCGGTTCGTATGGGCCGAGGCTCTAAAGTTTAGAGTCTAAACAATCAAAGTAAAACGTATTTTTCGAATAGTATAAAAAAATATAGTTTAAATACTGAAAATCTTTGGGATAGCATTAAAATATATTTTTATTTTTTAATTATAAAATTTAAAAATAGTGTAGATCGAACAAATATTTGAAAGCTTGAAAATTGATCGTAAAAAAATACGTTAGAATATGCACTATTTCCAAAAGTAGAAATCCATATAGAAATCCATTTTTTTTCTCATGTCCATACATATTGATGTCGAGATGATTAATTTGAAGATATTTGCGCATCAAAACAACCTTTTCTAGTGAAATTTTTGAGGTGGGCTCTAATTGGATTTTTTAGAACCTTGGCTCTATGTAAACTTTTTCCAAATAAGAATATTTGGCGAGTCCACACGGATTCATGTGTCTAACTTTTTTTTTTTGGCGAGTCAGTGGGGGAGAGGGCCTTTACCTTTGTAGGAATTGAGCTTAGGATGTCACGTTGCAAATCCTCAAACGCTAACAAATTAAGTCCTGGCTCTTTTCCTATGTGTCAACTTTGGGTATGAAAGAATTTTGGGTCCAAAATGCATTTAAATTCATTGTAAACCAATTTCTGTTTTAGATCCTTAAATTTTGTAGTCCAAAAATAACATTTATCCGAGGACGTTTCAGGAATCAAAATGAAGGACAAAAAATAAGTTTTTTTTTTTTTTGGTGGGTCATTTTCGCCTTAGAGCACATGTATATTGCCCTTGTGGGGTCTAGTGTGCATCTACTCCCTTGGTTATAAGATCCACTTGGGAGGATTTTTTTTAAAATATGATATTGGGAACCTAGATGATTATTCTCAAAAGAAAAAAATTCACATTTTAAGTTTCTAACACTTAAATCTCACTAACTAATAACTGGATGATCCCTCTTTCGTAAGACATTAATTTTTTTTCAACTACAAATAAGGTGTAATTTGGGAATATTTTTAATTTGGGATCAAAATTGACCCTAAATAAGGTTTTACTTGGGGGTAAGTGTATAGCATACTCCGGCAGGAGCATAATATCATTTGAAGTTCCAAATGCCTCTCACCCAAATTGATGTGCCTACCATAAAATCAGAGCCTAAGAAATCTGTTTTTTGAAAGCACTCTTGACGATGAAAGACACCTGAGAATGTCAAATCTAATAAATAAAAAAGTTTCTCATGCATTCCACCATACTTACCTATCTTCAATAGCAGTAGAAATTCTTCTACAAAATCCTAAGTGCGTAACATTTAATTGGTGCTATAATCTATTAGAAAAAGTTTATATAAGGATGAGGTGGTAACAATTAAATTAACACGCATCTAAAAAATTCACTTGAAGAGGTTTTCGATGCTAAAAGCCCCTCAAATTGATCGTCTTGACTCCAAGATGTATGGACATAAGAAAAACTAGATTTCAAGTCTTGAAAATAGTGCATCTTGTAATGTATTATCTAGACGTTCAATTTTTAAGATTTGCAAGTGTTCGTAGATCTAATTGATCTACACTATTTTTTAATATTTAAATTTCACAATTAGATATGAAAATAAAATTTCAGGTTATCACAAAGATTTCTGATATTGAAACAACATATTTCGACACAGGTGTGCCTTACTTTGATTGGTTGAGGCCTTGGCCTTATACAAACTGCACCCTAATCTATTTATACAAAT